TAGGGAAGCATTCAGCACTAAGGGGCACTGGATAACCGTTTCGTCCTAGTACGGCACTATCTAGCGGTACACCCCCCCATCACCTCACAAGGAATGAAACCCAGGACCTTCAGGTTTCGAGGCGATCTTGTTGACTGTTTAGCCAAAAGGAAGGAATTCAATGGCCCATCAACTCTTGAGTTTTGTCACTGCTCGATTTTATCTTAACCACCAGCCAATGTCATCAGAGATTGTTTGTCCTCGCACCCAACCTAGTGGATCGTTCTGTTCATGACTTCTCAATAGAAATCTAGCCGATTACTCCTTTAGTCAGTCATTAGTGAGCATCATATAACAACTTTACGGATGAAGCAAAGTGCTTATCAAAAAGGTTATTTGATATAACCTACAATGATTTATTACTCACAACTAAGTGGTGTTTCCAGAACAATTCCTTGCTCGTGATGACAATATCGATGATATGACACACATTCCACACTTACTTCAAAAAGAAAATTACATTCAAAACGAATAATTCATGGATAATCCCCATACAAGCATTAGTGGAAACAAAACACGCAGTTCAGTGAAGAGTCTCTTTTCGGCGGCGAATTCATTTTCTTAGCTGTACAATCGCCAATAATATATGAGTTATTTTGTATGTATGTGTACATTAAGTTTGTCAAACAAAAATACAATTGGCTATGGTTATTTTAACTAAACAGGTGAAGGTTGGTAATACAAGTCAAGAAAACTAGGTGTTAATGAAATTAGGGTAGTAGAGCAAAGGTGATGAGTTCTCAAAAACAGCTGTTAAGAAAGAAGTTATGTAATAATTTGAATAGTTTGATGATTGAGTTTTGCTCAGGATACGCATAGGAACAAAGTAGACAATACGAGATTTCGTAAGAGTTCTAAATGAATAGAAGAATTATAAGCAATTAAAGAGCAGGCAAACAAACAAAATTAAGTCATCAAAATCAACAAAGTTGTTACCATGACAGTAGAATTGGTTGAGTAGTCCTCTTTTGTATGCACAGCTCCGGTTTTTCTATGTGAATGGCCAGAGCTTCAGCGATACAAAGAAGACGAAACCGTATTGCCTTTGGTAGGTTATTATATAACTTCTTTTTTAACAATTGTTTGTGACAACTCATCACCTTTGTTACTACCCTAATTTCATTAACACCTATTTTTTTGGCTGATTTTGTATTACCTAACTCCAATTACCAATCTTCACCTGTTTAGTTAAAATAACCATAGCCAATTGTATTTTTGTTTGACAAACTTAATGTACACATACATACAAAATAACACATATATATTATTGGCGATTGTACAGCTAAGAAAATGAATTCGCCGCCGAAAAGACACTCTTCACTGAACTACGTGTTTTGTTTTCATTAAAACGAATAATTCCTTGAAAAGAAAGATTAAATTATTTAAATAATTAACTCATGAAGAAAATAAAAAGATAAATTCAGCGAAGAAAATTTTCTTCATCGACGAAATCATCTTCAGAGGCTGTACAGTCGTATTTATACTTCATAAGAAAAGGCACAAACAGCGAAGAAAATTTTCTTTTCGACGATTCATTTTCATGAGCTGTACAATCGTAATTATAATTAAACACATAAGTTTTTGACCAATCAGATACTGGTAAACTTTGTCCTTGAAAATTCTACTACATAGTGTGAGGTGTAAGAAGGGATGACTAATTGTAAGTTAGAAAGGAGACAGAAGTTGGCATGACCTAATAAGTGTGAGATAATGACTAATCAATAAGCTAGTGTAGAGTGGACAGGAACTAGTGGAAAGGTTATACAGTAGTTTTGTATAAGATCTGTGTGAAAAAGCAATGTTATTAATAAACAGTCATAGAGTAGTAATAAAATATGGATGGTGGGAATAGTATTAAGAACAGTAATAATAATAATAATAGTGAACTTACATATTAAAAGAGAGGAGAAAAATTATAGTCAGAAATTTACTCTGGCCATGGTAGGGCTAGAGAATGTATGTATCGTTTTTGTATGCATAGGTCCGGTTTTATGTCACGAATAGCTAATGCCTCAGCTATGTACAGATGTCGTATCCGGAGTCCTTTTGTACGATATTGAGGGACTCTGTGTACCACTGTGAAGCATTCGTGTGGGGGTGCTCGATGTCCGGAGATAACAAGGTGTTCGAGGATTGAGCTGTTGGTATTCTTCTTTTCTCCTCTGGCTAACCAAGCTGGGCAGTGTTCCAGGATACGTTTGTGGACTTGACGTTGCGTACGGCCGATATACTTTGCTCCACACGAGCAAGTGAATTGATAAATACACATTGAAGTGGCCAAAGGCGGTATCTTGTCCTTAACGTTAGACTGGATTAACTGTCTGCAGGAGAATGTTATACGTAGAGTGGCTGTTGGGAATGTCTTCTTCAGACTTTTTGAAAGGCGGTTTCTGAGAATTTCCGCTGCGATGTCACCTTTGAATTCTAGGTTCATGAAGAGAGTCTTCTTAGGAACCGTTGTGATATTTGGCACCGGGGGCTTCTCCTTCATGTTTTTGTCGATGAATCTTGGCGGATACCCATTCTCTAGTAGGGTTTCACGCAATAAATTTAATTCTTTCTCCACCGTGTCTTCCGAGCAGATTTTTCTAATCCTTGAGCACAATGTACGTACCAAGTTTCTCTTTCGGGTCAGTGGAACAAAGCTCTGGAAGTTGATAAACTGTCCAGTCCATGTTGGCTTACGGTATATCGATCTTTGGATCGTACAGTCGTCTCTTCTGGTGAGTAATACATCGAGGAATGGAAATGCGTTGTTCGATTCGCGTTCTAAGGTGAATCTTATTGATGGATGCGCTGCGTTGAAGGTTTTCAGGAGAGAATCTAAATCACATTTTTCATCACAGATTATAAACGTATCATCTACATATCTCTTGTATAAGTGCAGTTGACTTATCAAGGGATCAAGTCCATCTTTCACTAGCTTATTGATTAGTCATTATCTCACACTTATTAGGTCATGCCAACTTCTGTCTCCTTTCTAACTTACAATTAGTCATCCCTTCTTACACCTCACACTATGTAGTAGAATTTGCAAGGACAAAGTTTACCAGTATCTGATTGGTCAAAAACTTATGTGTTTAATTATAATTACGATTGTACAGCTCATGAAAATGAATCGTCGAAAAGAAAATTTTCTTCGCTGTTTGTGCCTTTTCTTCGTATTTATACTTACAAAAAATATATAGTGATATATTATTGGGTAATAGGGGGTGACATAATTGATATAACTATTCACAAGTGGCTTTAGAAATTAAAATTAAAAGTTGTAAATTACATGGTACTCAACGGCACAAAGATAGAAATTTGATAAGGTTAAAATTGCTATTGAGTGAGAATAAAGATATTTGAGTGTCAATTTAACAAGTGTGAAGAGGGTTTGAAAAGATATAAAAGGAGCATATGAGATTGATAATAGTGAATTAATTATTGAAGCAAAAGCAAACTAAAAGTAAAATTAAAAACAAAAGCAAAAATCAAAATGTTTTACAGGGAACGATTAGTGAAGAGGTTAAGACCAAGGTAGAATAAGAGACTGGACAAACTTTTCCTGTATACAGAGTTCAGGGTTGTATTGATGAATTGCCAGCGCTTCCGCCATACACAAAAGCCGAAACCTGATGCTCTTTGTACCATTTGGCTTCACTTTGTAAATGATCTTGAAAGACGAGTCTGGTGGAATTGAGCTAGTAATTGTCTTGCATTTTCCCTTTGCTAACCATGCCGGATAATGTTCAGAGATGCATTTGGAAAGCGTACGCTTTGTGCGGCCAATATACCTAGCTCCACACGAGCAGGTGAATTGATGAACACACATTGAGGTGGCCCAAAGCGGAAGTTTATCCTTCACACATCCGTTGACCATTTGTCGGCTGTAGAAATTGATACGTAGCTCAGCCATAAAGAAGCCTTTCCTCAGTAATCTGCATAAGCGATTCTTCAGGATCTCAGCTGTGGTATCACCTTTAAATTCAACACTCATAAATAGCAGTTTCTTCGGCACCGTCTGGATTATTTCAGGCTTTTCCTTAACTTCATGTTTTTCTCGATAAATCTTGGCGGATATCCATTCTCTATGAGAACTTATCTGAGTCTCCCCAGTTCCCCATTGATTCTATCACTTGAACATATCCTCCTTATTCTTGAGGATAAGGAATGGATCAGATTTCTCTTTCTTCTCAAAGGACCAAGCTATGGAAATTTGTGAACTGACCATTCCATGTTGGTTTCCTGTAGATTGATCTTTGAAGTGAACTATCAGGTCTCCTCTTTAGAAAAACATCAAAAAATGGAATTCCGAATTATTCTCTGATTCCGACGTGAACTTGATGGCATGATGGCAGCTGTTGAACTCCTTAGTTATCAGTTCGATGTCGGTATTGTCGTCACATATGATGAAAGTATCATCCATGTATCTTTGGCACAGATGGAACCTGTCGATATTAGGCCGTAAAATACTATTCTCCAAACTAGCCAAGAAGCAGTCTGCAAGTAAAGGACCCAATGGTGACCCCATTGCCACTTCATCTCTCTGTCTATAAATCGTGTTGTTGAACTTGAACTGGACATTTAAGGTGCACCTCAATAGTAGTTCCTTGAAGTAGTGGATCGGAACACATACGTCTACATTGTTCTCCTCAATGAATTTGTATATAAAGCATATAATTAACTCCTTCATAAATACAATCGCATAAATTTCCAGATGAAAAATATGATTGTTTTTCTTCTTTTTAGTATTTTAATGCTTCCGAGCAATCAGTCTTGTAAGAATTATGTAGGGATTGGTTAAACTAGGTCAACGGAAACATATCATATATTTTTTTTGTCATCTCAGTTAATTCATTTAGACATTTGTAATAAACTAACATTTTTTAACCTTATTTGAATATATATATTCTGATGGTTTCAAATCTCGTAATATTCTAATTTATTTTGTTGTATATCAATTTTTCTTTGAACAGGTTCAAGAAGGCGATTCATTTAATAGTGTTGCAGCTCGATTTGATGTCACTCCATCAGAATTATGCCGTATTAATCGGTTTTTATCCAGAACATTGTTTGTTGGTCAAATGATTAAAGTTCCTGTGATTCAGGAGGCGGTAAAGACGACTGAAGATCCATGTGTAGCACCTTGTGAAGAGAAAACTCGTAAGTTTTGAATTAAGTGGACTTTCTTAGTATTGGAGGGAATTTGTGTTTTTAGTAATATAAACAAAGGTTGCGTAATGAATACATTTTTTTCACTCATTGAGTTCCAAGTGGAACAGAGGGCTTCAGGCTTTGAAGTTTCAGTTGTGGTGTTGTTTTTTAGGTGGTCGAGCTTCTAATCCTAGAGCCCAACCTTCTTTTTTTCCTGGGCTTCTTATCAGCTAATAAACTAGCTGAGTTTTGTGTGTTTGGGTAAGAAATCGAATCTGATTGAATTTTGGGCAATTTAAAGACCCTTATGTATTAGCTGTATAGGGATTCGAAATAGTTTACAGTGTTAACTACCTACTTAACTCGAGTTATGATTTGTTTTCTTCACAGCAGTTTCTAATACGGCTGATGTTCATTTAATCATAAATGTCCTTATTTTAGGCTAAAAAAAGTTGTTTTCGAAGTATAGCTTAGGCGTGGTATGTTTACGAAGCATTATTTACATTTTTGTTTCTGGTGTTCGAAAAATATTTATTATAATCCTCAATATTTGCACTTTAGATTAGGATATTATTATTGTTCTGTTGTTTCTCTAACTAGACTTTTCACTTACACATGTTTTCAAGGTGAATCAAAGCATCATCTTTTGTGCTACTTTACAAAGAATGAAGGTTGTTCAATCCCGAATTCTCATTTATGGAGAATATTGTTAATTTGTTGGATAGGGGAAAAGTGTTTTGTTACCCTTTTCGCCTCCTGATAGGTTGATTTAAGACATTTTAACATTTACAAAGTTGCATTAATTATATAATAGTAACATATTACTGCAGGGAGAAATCTAGCGAAATATTTTTAAGTGTTAGTTTATACGGATGTGATTGGTTTCAGATTTGATCACACTTGTTTTATTTTTGTTCGGGAGTTCTAGCAGTATGCGCCAATGAACTCACTGGGGACGGAATCGGAAACCTTCAAGTTGGTTACGAGGCGAGTTCATCAAGCCCAAAAATCTAAATATCCGTGAATTCTAACTTTTTTCGGTTTGCGATATTTAGCGCTTTTGCCAGATGATGTCACTGGGGCTTATTTGTCCTCACATCCGACCTAGTAGACTCCACTGGTCACCAAATCTGACTGGAACTTCAACCAAATTCGTTCTATAGCCATTCACTAGTGATCATACTTGAAACAGATCGAATCTCTATAGTCTGACTCTTGAAAACGTATGCGGAGCTGGCTAATGTAACTGGCTACAGGACGAAGCTAGCCGGATTACTGGTGATAAGTTGTAATCAGTGGAGTCCACCAGGTTGGGTTTAAGGATATTGGCTGATGGTTACGATAGAATCACAAATTGGTGGAGGCTGGAATTTATGGATCATTGAGTTGGGTCTCAGTGGCTGGATAGTCTACGAACTCAACTTGTAACAGGAAGGTCTTGGGTTCGAACCCCTGTGGGTTGGTACTGCTGATGAGTCCCGGGCTGGACGAAAAAACTGTCCAGTACTCCCTAACTTAAGTGTTTGAGTAAAATAACACCATTACTTCCGCAAACACTTGTTTTAGTTAGAGAACCACTGGAAAACCTGGGAGTATTGGACAGCTGTTTCGTCCTTGTTTGGGACTCTTCATTAGTACGCACCCACCGACAGGGTTCGAAGCCAGGACATTCTGGTTACAAGGCCAGTGAACTCGTAGACCACTAAGCCACTGGGAGTGGATCCAATGGCCAGTCCATGATTTCTAACTTCTGCCAATTCAAGATATAGTTCGACCACTTCGCAATGTCTTCTTCGATGACTTACTACCTCATCTTCAACCTGCTGTACCCTACTGGTCACGGCTTCCCACCAGAATCCTCCATGCAGTCAAACAAAATCCCTACAAAACCAATACTTGAAAACTTGTTATAGTGTTGAAGTATGACACATATTTTCAGCTTTAAAATTTCAAAGAAATCCTTTTTGAATGTAGGTAAAACTCAGAATTCATACTTTGCATACTGCAGTAATCCTTTAGTGATTTTCGTCTCTTGAATAATTTAAGAGCTCCGTGCCAACACAAAGTTTGTGAATAGTTCATTTGAAAAGCCTACACACCTATTTTTCTGTACAGCTTCCTTTCACTTAGCGTTTTGTATTAACTCTACTCACCTTAGTCATTTGATGACTGGCTTCTTATGGTCTAGTATGGTCTCTTGGTTTTCTTGGTTTTTATAAAGTGACAGAAAGCTCTAATCCCGATGAAAAGTCAGAGAAGTCAGCAGTTACAATGACGGGAAACAAAACAACAACAACAGATTCTTTATGCAATGTAACAGAAGGAAATATGGAGTCGAAGCGATTATCACAAAAAGATTCATTAACATCGTCTTTTAGCGAAACAGACACAGATGAATGGGAAGTAGATGAGTCTTCGTATAGTGAATACACGGTAAGTTGTATAGAAAATATTTAATTTGTTACGCGGTTGATAGTGTTAATGATAAATAATTGATTTGTTAATGTTTTCTATTTTGTTTTTGATTTATTATACTTTTTGAGTCCAAAATGGAACATACGCCTACAAGCTTAAGCCTTGAAGCTTCTGCGGTGATGGTGTCATTGATACAGGGTAGGGTTGCTAACCTCACATCCAGACTTCCTTCCTTACCGAGTTTACTGCTGGCCAGGCGATGTCTCGGAGTGCGTCAGGCGGGAATCGAACCATGGGCCACATACGTGGTGGAAGAGCTTTCCGCCACTCACTCACCGACTTATTATGTTCAATTTATTATTTTGAGTCAAGCTTGTAGACATATTACTGAATAAGGATTTCATCATGAATCGATGTTGGTTAGGGGTGCATTGGAAAACCTAGGAGTACTGGACAGGTGTTTCGTCCTAGTTTGGGACTCTTCATAGTTCACGCCCACCGGGGTTCGAACCCAGGACCTTCCTGTTGCAAGTTGAGTTCGTAGATCATTCAGCCACAGGGATGCGATCCAATGGGCCATGAAATCCAATATCTGCCAATTCATGATATGGCGCGACCACTAACAAATATCATTGGCGGCTAGTGTTTGTCCTCACACGCAACCTGCTGTACCCCACCTGTTTGATGAATAAAGCCAGTCTCTAGGAAGCATCAAACTGATATTCAAGTGCTGGTTTGTAAGGATTTTATTGGATCCAGGATTTCATCATGAACTGAACCAACACCTGAATAATAGTGAACCAATTCGATCCGATCATTTATAGTTCAAAAAGCATCTATTCATATTTACGGTATGTCCAAGTGTATAAATCTAAAAGACTCCTTTTGTTCACCATAACTGCATCTTTAACTGGAATTTGAAAATGCATCATTTCCAACCTATAATTTTCAGCAGTGGGAACCTGTGTCAGTTTCTTTAGTTTCAAAGGTTACTAATACAGTAACGTTAATATATTTTAGTTAGTCATATCACATGCTGTTCGGCCTATTTCGCTATGTCACGTGTTTGTGAATAGAAATACTCACTTCTTTGCATTCCTCAAAAAAGGCAATGAATTTATTCAACATGACTGGAAGAAGTTATATTAGGCTTAAAGTACTAATATCAGCAAAAGTCTTCTAATTTTTTATTCAACGTCAATTATGATTTATGACATCGAAGATAGAAATGTATCGAAATATGCTTTACGATCATTATAGACTAGACTGACTGTTGAAGTCATTGAATGTTAACATTATTATTACTAAGCTCTAAAGAATGCTCTGAATATCTTGAAAGAGTTCGCTTCAGTGAAGTATGGAAGTGAATATACGTTTTTCAAAAGAATGGATGCTGAAAAAAGAGAACCCTTTTCGATAACTCACTTCATCGAACTCTACAGTTGTATATACATTATATTGAATGAATGATTTAGTGTTATGAACAACATTAATGTTGCTGTCTAAATAACATAGAATCAATAATATTGATAGATTACAGCTCAATAGCATCAACATAAAATTGGCTGAATGTCAGAAAAATTAGGAAAGATAATATTACAAATTCATGAATTTATACTGAAGGCTGGCCAGGGAAGTAGTAGGGGTTAGCTGGACTTGCTTCTCTTGACACAGAGAACTGGTAGTTTGAGGCGAATTGCAATAGCTTCTGTTGTTTGGAGCATTCGGTGGGTGCTTCGATGATTTTGGAAATTTATTAGGCACTCGGTAGATTATAGAGAAGGATTCTTCCACGCTGGCTGGCTTTGTGGCCGGCCGGTTTGCACTAGATGGTCCAATATCGAACTGTTAATGGTTTTAACTACACCTGTACTTAGCCACAGTGGTTGATGTTCTCGAGTGAGGACGAAAAATCAAGTTCGTAGAGTAACGGCCAATATAACTCGCTCCACACGGCGCAGTTGAATTGTTAGATACAATTTGAATTGGCCAGCTAGTCTAGGTACTTCATCTTTCAATCGAGGTAGCACCATCGGTTGTGTAGAGAATAATACGTGTAGTTCTCCAGCATTAAAAGTTCTTTGAACTGATGTTCTTAATATCCTCGCAGTATGCGTTTGTTGATTGCTGGGCATATAGTATTATTGAATTTTTCATCGTTATAAGTATTACATTGGATGTTAATTGTACATTAAAGATTTCAATGGATGTACCAAATACCTTTCGTTTGCATTTCTGACTGACATAAATCAGTATGACGGCCATAGTTTGCATTGAAGACGGGTTGGTGAGTAACTTGTTTAAACAGTCTGTTCACAATCAACCCACTATTACATGAAAAACAGTTAAACACTCAAATTCGAATTTACACTATTCTTAATTCTAACGCGGTTGGATTTCATCGACACATAAAATTATTTTAACTTCAACTATTTAGAGAATTTAAGCTTCATAAAGTGAGTCGGTGGCATAGCGGTAAGGACGCTCACCGACCATGTACATGGTCCAGGGTTCGATTGCCGGCCACAGGCGCACTGCTTTACCACGCCAAGCCAGAAATAATGCTGGTAAAGATGAAAGGTTAGGCATGAGGCTAGCAACCCCATCCTGTAAGAATAATCACCACTACTACAGAAACCTCAAGTCACTAACTTGAATCCCTATTTTCCACTGGGGAATGTGAAGGAAAAGAGAAAAAAAAGCTTCATAACGGACAACCGCTATGAGGACTCCTAGCTTGATCCGTTTGATTATTATCCCAGAAACTTGAGTGCCATACTCAGTGGGAAGAAAAGGCTATTGAACTTCCCAGTAAGTTTTCTATTTGCTTGTTTTGTGTCACTGACCTAAACAATTTATTTTCTCTCTTCTACTTGTCTTGACACTGTTTTTGATTAGCCAGAGGAAATTGTGTTAATTGTTGCTGATATACCACTTTGAGTAATTCTCGCCTAATTTTATTTCTTCAACTCTGATGTTGTGTTTTTTCTTTTCTTTTTTCATTTACCTCTCATTATTTAAACAATAATTGAATACTCAATTCATTTATTGACAAAAAGAGGTGTATTTAAGGTCATTGGTTTTGTTCAGTCTTAAGAATTCGATGAATTGTCTCACTGAGCTAAATAAAATAGAAGGAATATTTACGTGCACGTGAATCTAAATTCTTTCGTTGATATTTTTATCCCTCCGCCTTAGTGAATCACCCACCTCCAGATAATCCCTTTTTTTTGTTTCTGTCGATAATAGATCGAATTTCCTTTGTTTGTTTGTTTGTTTTTTTATTTCTGTTCAGAAATTAGACACATTAATTTTTAAAGAAGATTTTTTTTAAAGTGATTAGTAGTCTTGTTTGATGAAATACATCATTTTGTTTTAAGTTTCCTGATGAAATTAAAGGTATTCACTAAGGCGTTCCATCAAAAATTGTTTCATGCAGACAGTTTACTCAGTTTTATTGAAGAATGTAAACTGATAAACGTCCATTTAGCTGAAATAATAGTACAGTACTCCTTAAATATCAGGGCATTTGTTTCTTATAACGGATATTTAGGAAAACTGACCCCAAACACAGAAGAACTGTGCGTTTTAGTACAGTTCAACCAGCAAGTGTATATAGAAATGATCAACTCTTACAGAACCCAATGGTGTAAGAATTCTATACTAGCTTACTTGCTCATGATCTGAAATCACGTAGTTTGAACTTAGCATTAGAGGATTTGTAAACAATGATCACAAGCATCTTGCAGTTGAACTAGCAGTAGGTCTTGAGTACACCCCTTTAGGATTATCAAAGATCCATCGGAAAGTCTAATCTGTAGGATAAGAAGAAATGAGTATAACAGTAACAGAATGACTTTTAAAAACCTGTCCTTTTTTCTATTTCCTTCACGTTCTCAGTGGAATATAGGGCTTCAAGCTAGAGGCTTCAAGTTTCCACAGCAGTGGTGTTTTATTTTTATGGGATGGGGTTACTAGCCTAATGCCCAACCTCCCTTTTTACCAGTTCTATTGTTGGCTTTGCGACCTAGAGGAGTTCGTCGGCCGGGGATCAATTTCTTGGATGTCATTAAAAATTATTTTCTAAAAATTAACTTCTTTTTTAAGACTAATCTTTATATTATTATGGCAGCGGAATATTTTCTACTTATACTTTGTGAATTACCCACGACTGAATTGGATTGTTAACAGCAATTATCTTGAGTTTAGTACCTTTAAATCTCTTATTTCAACTCATAGGAGTGTGCCGTGCACAACTGTTTTCCAGTACCCTTCGTCATCATTGTCATCGTACTCAGATAGTTATCTGTTGACGAAATTGCACTGACTTTTTCCCCTTAGAAACAAGTGCATTAAGTTTTGCTTTCATACCTTCTCAGTGAAGATAGGGTTTCAAGCGTCAGCTTTGAACCCTCAGTAGCAGTAGTTGTAACGATTAAAACCGACTCATTGTGATCTGAACGCAGTAAACTTACCTATGCGTCCTATGATATTATTATTGTTCCCTTCGATACCCAGTGGAGCATAGGGCTTCAATTGAACGTCTCCACTTGCTTCTGCCTTCCTTCTGCTGTACTTTTCACCTGCATCCATGTTAGTCCATACTGTCCATACTCCTCTTCACACGATCTCCTCCATGTCACCCTTCCACTGACGTCCCACTCGCTGCTTCCATTTCGGGTTCCACTCGAACAATGGCCTGACGCGCACGCGATGTCACCCAGCGGTCTCCTCAGCCAGTGAGTGTCCAATCCATCTCCACTTTCTCCTGCATATTTGTTGGGCGGCAATCGGTTCTTGTTTTGTTTGTTCCCAGCCATAGTTTCTTGTTGGTAATTCTTTCCGGCCCGGCCGGCCATCTGATCTTCAGTATAGATCCAGCGAAGACAGTTGTTGGTTGATAAAGGTCTGGTCTGCAACAGGCTGTTGGAAATATTCTTTGTGATCCGCCCGCCCGCCAAGTTCCTGATCCGTATAGAAGAACTGACTGACTTGACGTTTATATTGAAAATCCGACC